GACCTCTTGGCGCTTTAGTAGAAAATTATGCGCGCTCTTCCGCGTCCGTTTACGAGCGGGCGCGCGCGAGAGTAGTCGAGTGAGGGAGGAGAAAAGAGTTTCCTGGCCCGGATAGGAGGAAGGATAAAGGGGATGACGGGCATTAGCGAGCTCTATACCCGGCGCGTGGAGGAGATGGAAGAGGAGGAGGAGGAGGAGGAGGGGGAGGGGATACCTCTCCTTCTAGCTTCCGAAACTGCTCCGCTTTGCACGCGTCTGCTCGATAACGACGTGAACGTGTATCCAGGATTTTAACCCCTGAAACGACCCCCTGACTCTCAGCCTTTTTTCCAGATTTTACGCCGGCTACTACAGCACTCCTCGTAGCTCGGAAAAATACGAGAAAGTTCTTTCCGGCCCAATAAGGCTTTTCTCAACTATCATTCCGCTATTTTGACGGACTGTACAGACTATAATAGTAAAACCACTCGTGCCGACTCGTGAATATCCAAATGGGTGCTCCAAATGGAAGCTTAGGAATTAAGATTTCATCGAGCAACGAAAATACGCGTGTTATCGTTGCAATTTATTCCCGAGGAGGAAAAACGGGGGTCTCGATATCGCGCGCATATCGAAGCTCTGTCTCTCGCGGCGTTGCGTCAATAAAAATATTTTATTTCCACGGTGGTTAATGTCGCGAAAGAGAAAAGTGAGGCAATTTATGGTGGTCCCGGTGCACCAGGAACATAAACGGCTCGTGTAATTCCTACTTCGTAGTAGGACGGGTAACGGTAGGAAAAAGATATCGTTAAGATATTTCCTACGAGACCAAAGTGTACCAACTCCGGCGAGAGGAGTATGAGGAGGAGGAAGGAGGCTGGGGAAATCGAGCGAGGGCAAACTATGAACTCGGCTTCTCGAGGACAAAGCTTTTCCGTCTGGATTTTCTCCAGCTCTCTGTTCCAGCCGGCTTTTCTTTTTCCCGATCTCGCCCACTCCCCCCATTTCCCACCCTCGCCCCTGCGCCTGCCGTCTCGGAAATCCTTGAGAAGTCTACCTAGTCTCGCGCGCTCCTCCTTCTTTTTCCCTTTTATCTGCTTCTTCCCGTGGAAAAAATTCCGTCGACATACCATCGAGTCTATTCCCTTCGACGCTGTAATAATAATGAAAAACATTCATGGCGTTCTGTCGAGGGATAGATCTGTCGACCCCGATGTCTGAAGCATAGATTATCTCGCCGAGGAAAGCTCTCGTTATATCTTAATACTATCACGATTTTCACGCGTAACTCACACGAAATTTTTTACTCTTTGTTACAGGTCTCAATCCGGCCGAGGAGAGGCATGTGAGTATCATACATTTGAATAAAATTTCTAATTTCCTAATAATTTCTCATTATTCGTCGCGAATGAGGGAAGACTGGCATATCGCTGGTACTGTCGGGCGCGTAAAATTTCACCTCATAAAGGGGATTAGACCACCGCTTACGCGCGATGTATTATTGGATGATAGCAGAGGTAAAGGAACGTGAGAGCGAAAGAGGGAATTAGCGCGATACGCGATAGCGTGGAAAGAGAGAGAGAGAGAGAGAGAGAGAGAGAGAGAGAGAGAGAGAGAGAGAGAGAGAGAGAGAGAGAGAGAGAGAGAGAGAGAGAGAGAGAGAGAGAGAGAGAGAGAGAGG